AGTTCGTATTTTACTCTCTTAAAAGAATGGGAAACTATTTGAGCAAAAGAGTAAATGATCATATTCAGGGGTTAGCAAGAGCCCTCCTATGGCACTGTACGAGATGACTAGAAGGGGAAAAACTGGACGCAAGAATTCTAGTTGGGAAGGTTAAATAAGACTATATTGTAGTCACTGTGAGGAGGAGAATCAGAAAGATTTCAGATTAGAGTTGGCAATACCCAGAGATCAATATTCCTCTTCAAATACTTAAAAAAAAAAAAAAAAATCACAATCCACAATAAGAAATCCATTTTAACATCATAACCCCATGTACATGCTTATCCATGTGTGCACATACACACAGATTTTATGAAACAGTAAGACAGTGCTGTAGGCCCAAGGCACTGTCATTCTCATTATCCAGCATACGAAAATGAAAGCGACAAGAGGTGTTCTCAGATAGCTGATCTGTCCTACATGGATGCTTCCTTTGCAACACTATTGATTTTAAGGTTGTTGTTGACTTGAGGCACCTTAATGCTGTCTGCATTACTTAAGTAATGATTTATCATTTGATGTGACTTGCTGTTCTTTTGTAGTCTCCCTGGTTGATTACACTGCATGGCATAATTAGGTATTCATGAGCATGTATCAGAGCCAAGCTTTTAGCAAAGCTCCTTATCTGTACAACTGATTTCTGCATGGTATTTCTGGAGTCAATCTGTTGCTACTCTTAAAATTAAATGAAAGAGGCTGCAATATCCAACTGTTAAACTTTGTTTTATAGATTATTCTGTAAAATGCCTGAAGCCCTCGACCACAGTTTTTTAAAAAAGCATTACAATGTGATGTTGATTTTGGTCTTGATGACCCTACCCTGCAGTTAGCCCCTTGGCCTGCTCTTTGTGATTTCACAGGCAAGGAGAAGTGGACACTTTTAGCCCGGAATGAATGTGTATATGGGTTCTGTTCCACCATCTCCAACAGGAATTACAAAGCACTTTCACATATATTAACAGCTAACATTTATTGGGCATTAGGAATGTGCCAGGCACTGTGCTAAACACTTGCTATGCATTATCTCAAGAGTCTTCAAACCAGACCTGTAAGTACTGTTCATTTTACAGAAGCTGAAACTGACGCTTGGAAGAGTAAAGAAACCTGCCCAAGTCCACAAAGCCACTAAGGGGTGAGCCATGATTCAAATTCAGGTTTGTCTGTCTTTAGAAGCCAAACTCTTAACCAGTGGATTATATTTCATCTGTTCTTAATACATTTTTTTGAGGCTTAGTGATACCAATTGATTTACTTGACTATTAGCAAATGAGTGGAACACTAAGACTTGAACCCAAGCCATCAATGCTAAATCAGTGCTCCTCCCCCACTACCCCATAATTTAATACCCCTAACATCGCCCTGGGCAGCAGTATTCATGGGCAGACAAGCACACAGGAGGAAAAAAGAAGAGAGAAAAAGCTACTTGAGGGTCATAGGCACAGCCTGAAGCTGACTCACTCTCTCTCCCCCACTTTAACATCTAAAGTCAAAAGGAAAACAGACAAAGAATGCACAGTTAGATATGGCAGGGAGAAAAAAGTGAAACTAAATATTACTTTAGCCTAATATAAGGCAGCTGTATAATCTACATGCTAGGAGACAGAGAAACAGTTGAAATGCAAAAAAGAGGTAGTATATGGATTAAACAAGAACATGTGTTTAAATATTTAAAGACTATCACAATCTTGATATGGAAAAGCCAATAATAAAAATGGAAATAAGGTTAATATATCTTTCCTTTAATGAGACCAGAATAAGGAAACGCATAAAAATAAATTCTTAGGGGCGCCTGGGTGGCTCCGTCGTTAAGCGTCTACCTTCGGCTCAGGTCGTGATCTCAGGGTCCTGGGATCGAGCCCTGCATCGAGCCCCATATTGGGCTCCCTGCTCGGCAGGAAGCCTGCTTCTCCCTCTCCCACTCCCCCTGCTTGTGTTCCCTCTCTTGCAGTCTCGCTGTCAAATAAATAAATAAATTATTAGTACTGGAAGCTCTAGAATTCAATCCCTCAATGAGAGAAGAAATTCCAGGAACTCATCCACCATGGTTATAAAAGCACACATTTACATAAAAGATATTACAATCCACTCACGTGCACAGGTCTAGAAAATAGATCAATAACTTAAATCAATTGCTTTTAAACAGTTACTAAAAATCCTTCGCTAAAAACAATGAGTATCAAATCCCAATGAAGTCTCGCATGAACACTAAAAATTATTAACATCCAAAAAATAGGTTTTTGAAAGCAAATTAAGTAAAGCAATTTATCCCAATCTCTTCTTCCTCAACAAATTATTATTTCAGCTCTAACTGTGGTCCTGTATTTTTGTTCTTGGATCTTTGCTTCCTTCTCTGGCAACATACTCAAGAATTTAAATAATTACTAAACTTTATAGAGCAGTAAATTCAATAGAATGTTTTTTTAAAAAAAACTAATTTATTGTTCAACAAATATGTGTAAATGGCAGTTGAAAGTAAGGTTATTTTTATTTAAACACTGTCACAGACCAGAGTCCCAATCTGAGAGGCAGTTTAAATGGAACACTACTTCAAAAGCAAAATCCATTATAATAAATGTGCCAAGTGAAATTAGAAATCTACTAATGCTAATTGGATACATTCTGAATGTATTAAATTTCCAAAGATATTTTTATGAACCCTTTGCAATATCCTATTAACACCCATGCATGGCTGCACTTTGGATGTACCCACAATTTGACACAATATAGGTTATTACGCTTAATAAATTTTGATCTCAGGGTGATTGCATAGTCTAAAGAAATGAGAAAAGCCTACAGTATGAAAACACTACTTCTGAAAGGAAGGGAAAATGATATATGAAAAATCTTTAAGAGCACTAATAGAGGAAACATGGATTGTTTTTTTCAAATATAAGAATTATAGAGCTCAATGGTCACCATTAAAACCTAATATACAAAAAACTGGAAATTGTCAGCCTATGGAAAATACTAAAAAAAGTCATAAATGGTTTTACAAATAAGTTCAAGGAAGGTTATAAATCAATTAATGATATTTCCATAGAGGTAAGTGAGCAAGTCCAGGGCATTTGGGCAACAACCCCCCCCCACCCCCACGCTGGTAAGATCAATGGTACTGAAGACAACCTGCCCTAGTTCACACTCGATCTGGCACCTCTGTCAGAAGCAGAACACAGGGCTTCATAGGGTCCAACAAGCAAGAACACCAATGTTCTTTTTTTTTTCTTTTCAAGAAGATTTTATTTATTTATTTGATAGCGAGAGAAAGAAAGAGAGAGTACAAGCAGGGGTGGGGTAGAGGGGCAGAGGGAGAGGGAGGAGGAGGAAGCAGACTCCCCGCTGAGCAGGGAGCCCAAAGCAGGGCAGGGCTCAATCCCATGACCCTGAGATCATGACCTGAGCTGAAACCAAGAGTTGGACGCTTAACCGACTGAGCCACCCAGGCGCCCCATAATGCCAATGACAGCAGAACAAAAAGAAAAACCCCACAGGTTTTGCATATATGGATATAAACACATAGATCACTGATAGAAAAGAAAAAGAAGGCCTCTACTTCCCTGCCTTAATACTACCAATGGCTACAAAATGTATGCGAGTCTCTAACATCACTGAGACTTCCATGGTTTAAGACAACCTACATGGTATCACACAATGAGGACACTGTTCTTATTCTAATGTTACTGATGTAGGGACCTCTGAAATGATAAACAAGGATACAGTGCTCATTACGACTATGAAAATAAAATGTTATGACATTCTTTATAAGAGAAGAAAGCAACTTCATAGCTTCATTCCTGGAATATCCTGGTGAGGGGTGGTGTCCGACCACAAAGCAGGGTGGGGTTAGGAATGTTTGGGTATAAATGTATACACTGGACTGGCCTTCCCAGCTTCCAAGCACCCCTTCCCCATCTCTTCTCCCTCCCCATTCAGGGGGGTTTATGAGGACATCTGTTTCACTACTGAGCTCTTCTTTCCATTTCACACAAATACCTTCAGCCTGTTTAGCCTGTGTCTGATGCATGTTTAGTCTTCACAGAGGAGATACCCAGGGCCAAAGATAACATACAGTGCCTTCTGCTCCACCTCTCACAAAATACTTGTTGGGTAAGGAGGTAGGTAAGAAGCCAAATTCCAATTTTCTTAATGCAGTGAGGACTTTCCCTATTGTACAAGTCACAATATGTTTCCAATGCACAACATCTATTTTTGCACATCTGCCCAATAGGAGCTCAATTAAAAACAGGCCCATCAGACTGACACAGTTTCCTTAACTGCTCAGTTCCTGTCACGCTGCAGATAGCGGAAAAGCACTTAACGGCAGCCACGAGGCAATTTTCCAGTAAGACTTGTTAATCTTTATACAGTCATCCTCGTGCAGCCATCAAAGCGAACTTAATGACAAATCAGTTAAAATAAATTACTCTTAGGAACTTGTAAGGATCGGATAAAAAGCAAACCATATGCGACATCTCTTCAGTCCTCTCCGTGACGGCATATAATTGCCACCATCTGTGCTGTTTATTCTATTTTGCCCAGCCTATGTGCCCTCCAGATCCACTCTCTGCCCTTCTCTGTCCTGTGCCGGCCCCAGGAGGCTGACCTCTGTGGACCTCGGGACTGTATCTGCATCAGTTTTAACCTTGCTCTCTGGCTTCCACCTGGGCTCAGCCAATGGGAAGGACAGAAGAGCTCCTCAGTGCTCGGGTTGCCAGGTGGCCCAGCCCCTCTTCCAGCCCCAGCTCTCCACAGCTCCGGTGCCACTGCACCCCACTTATCCTTTAGGCCCAGGTGTGTTCATAGCTTCCAGCTGTCGCTAACCCCGGGGTACTTCACCAGCCCTTGCCCGCATCGCTAGAAACAATCCCGTAATTACATACGCTTCAGTCTAAACACCTGTTGCTGGTCAAGACCCTGGCTGACATCTTGTCAGCAGCCAGGGGCTCCAAGCTGGGATCACTTACATGGACTGTGTGGACCAGATCGGCCACCAGACACTGCTTCAGCTTCTCATCGCTGCTGGTCCCATGAAGCACCAGATCAGGCATGTACGTGGGGCAATAGCCTGCCAGAAGTGAGCGGCCAAAGTTTCTTACATTTGGGTTGCTGATGCTCTGAGACCTAAAACAATATCAATCCATTAGAATACACAATTAAAAATGTACTCCCTTCTTGCATTACAACTGGAACAAAAACCCTAGGAACATAGTAAGAAAATCGATTCAGGGTGGTCCATTTCACCAATCCTCCAGGAAGTGGATCATCGAAGTGGTTAAAAGGAAGGGGGCTGGAAGAGAAAAAAAGACCCCCCCCCTTTTTTTTGGATGGAAGGGTAGAAAAAACAGTATTCTGATGGCCAGTTATGAGTTTGTTCTTGAACCTCATATCAAACATCTACCAGGTGGTCTGCATCAAGAGAGTAAAGAAAGAGAAAGTCTACTGGGGTGGGGGGGGAATCTTGCCAAAAACCTGGCTTTAGGAACTCGACACATCTGCACAGGGTGGTGCCCATGACAGTGCAGAAGAACAGAAAAAACCTGTAATTACCGCTTTCAGTCATCACAGACCAAATAATCAACCTGATGGAGTGTTAAGGAAGAGGTGTTGTTTCCCAACCACTTCCTGCTGCTCTGACCTGCAGGAGAGAAGCCACATGGTGAGGGTAATCCACCACATGGTGAGGGTAATCCACCACTCCCATGCAAGGCATCTGCTGCCAGCCATCTAACTTCCACTCCAATGACAGAAAATTAAAATCCCTGCTCCCCACCACCACCACCTCCACGGTATCCTTTAGCTTCCCAAAATGTCACAAGAGTTGCAAAGGCAACAAGTTGCCTCCTCACTCAGAGAGCTCAGATGCACTAACCAGGGCCACTGATCATCCCGGGAGAAAGCGCGGGCTTGAAGCTGTGTGCATCGGGTTGGTAACACTGCTCATACTCAGAGGAAAAAAGGCCAGTATGTGTGAAACGGCTGACAGTACCTCATGTGCCCATGCGGGTGACGTCGGGAAAACAGTATTCAAACCCAGTTCCCTCGGCTTCCCAACCTGCCAGTGTTACCTTGGCAGAGGCAGCTCCACTTCCAAGGACCCTTCAGTCCGGTCATCACTGTGCTCCAGATTCAGCGATGCTGAAGCACACGCTTCCTCGTCACTGTCTCCAAGAGCGCTATCTGAGCTTTCGTTTCTGGGGATGTCTCCTTCCATCCTGAAGTTGGCCTTCCTGTTGGCATCCCCACAGGGGACATCTGCAGTGCCCGAGAAACCAGAGTCCTGCTGTGCACACCTGCTTGGAACAGGCTGTAGCAAAGGTCCTTCTGCATCCTTCAAATGCAAACGTCTTGTTTTCTCCGGCATCCTCATTCCAATTCCTGCCACACTGCAGTCAGGTGCCAGTGAGTCAGCAGACGGGTCGAGCTGCCCAGCAGCATCTGCTACAACCTCGGTTTTCATGCCTCTGTCCTCAGCAAAATCCCTCTCAAATGCACCTTCATCCCTCTCACAAGATGGACTCTGAGGACAGTGGACATTCTTCTGGAAGCCAGGTGAGAAGGAGCACCTAGAAACCTGCAGGTCCTGAGGCATGTCAGCGGCCGTCCTGGACTTAGCCAAGGGATGGCAGGCTAACTCTGGATATTGTCTACAGGCCGTTAGCCGCTTCTCCATTTTTTGTGTGTGGCTTTCAAAGTCAGACTCTGGAGATACAGAACTTCCAATTTGGAAAGTGACCTTCTGTACGGGGGGTTTCTCCCAGGAATGTCTGTCAGGGCAAGGCCAGGCTGCGGACCGGTCTGCGAGTTTCTTAGGCATCTCCCCTTTCAAGTCCTCACTGACAGTCTGCTGGCTGATCTTCACTCCTGCCCCCAGCCCCTCACAGCTGAAGAGTCTTGAAGAGCCATCTCGTGGTGCCTCGTTTTCACTTTCTTCCTCTCCACAAAATGTGCCCTGAGGTTTCCGAGAGTTGTCCAAGGCTGGCTCTTGGAATCCCATGCTGCAGGCCTGAGAACTCTGCTCTGGCCTTTTGTGTCCTTCTTTGTCAGGTTTGGAACATAGGTCTCTAATGTCGGTGCCCTCTGGGGACACACCCAGCCCCTCAGGCCTGGGGCTCCTTCCCTCGGCCATAGCAGGTGGCAGGATAGGGGGAAGGAGAGCAGGCTCACTTCTCACCGTGACCACCACATACTCAGACTCCTCTACCTCTCCCCTCTCCAAGGCTGTGGTGATGTTGCTCCCATTTAACACTTGGTCACCTTCACCGTGACTCCCACTCCAGGTCAGCTGGTTCTCTTGCAGCTCAGAGCAACGGAGAAAGTAGGTCAGGACATAAAGTATGCGTTGGACCAAATCCTTCTGCTTCCCCACCACGACGGTGCGAGTCAGCCTCACTGGAGAGCCAATAGCTCCGTAAAGATCACCTAGAGAGCAAAAGAGACACAAAGACAAAGTCGTCTGGGGCAAGACATGTCATGGGTATGTCGGCTTTTATGAGAGAAGAACAGACGACTTACACTCTCAAATTAGAGCTGCTTCTTCACACACCTGAGGCAAAAAGGTAATTCCTAGTAACGCCCATGTTTTAGTTTTGCCTCTCTAATGGGAAGTGTGCCTAGGAAGGCTGAGGCCCACCACTCTCGGGGCATGGGTGCAGCTGGTGTACACAGCCCTCCCTGTGCTTGTCAGGTCTTCCCAGGCCGCTCACTGGGCTGGCCAGCTCCCACTAAAGCCAGCAGCCTCAATATGGGGCCAACTCAAATACTGTATCTTAAGAAATTAGAATGATGAGATTTTTTTCCCCCCAGAAGAATCCCAGGACAATAGGCCTTGGGGTAAAATCCAAGTTCAGGGATCTATGAACAAAAGTGCAGTGAATCAATTCAAAATACTTAATGACATGGCCTGCTCAGAATTCCCTTAATACACACACACACCACACACCAACTAGAATCAATCTGATTAACAAGAAGAAATCAGTCACGAAAAATGAATCTATTTCCTATTACTTCACATGAAAATTCTACTCGATGAAAATATGTCCCGTAAGTTATATCCTGACAAGCTGATTAAAAACTACCTAATGAACCACAAAACTTTAGTTTAAAGGTGGAAGAAGGCCAAATAAGGGCAAATGTGTCAATGAGCCCAGCAGTGTAAGCTTTTCATGGAAAGTATTTAAGTGCCTATTGAAATTATTGCATTTTATAATCTGCTTATTACATTTGGTAAGTTGTATATTTGATACTTTGATAATAACACTGACAATTATAACAAAAAGCCAACATTTACTGACTGTGCAGGCACAATGCTACGTGTTTGTGTCTCTGTATAACCAGCCCTGAGTTAGAAACCGTTATGGGAATAATCAGAAGGCTGAAGTAAATCAAAACTTGAAAAGATACTAAATAAAGGAGAGGAGGTACAAGGGTACAGTTATACATAAGAACTTGGGAAGTCAGAACTCATCTGAGGAATGCATCTGGAGAGGAGGGAATGCATTTTTATAAGGGCATATACTAGATAAAACTAATTAAATCGATAGATTAAGACGAGAAAAAGTGATGGGAACCATCAGGAAGTACTCCCTAGTGTAAGGCTACTGCTCCTGATGACATACAAAGGGCAGAACAGAGCTGACTTTAAAGGATCCTCTCTATAAAAAAAGAGTACAGACTAACAGAGCTTTATCTTTGAGGCTTTTACAACTGACAAGTCAAGAATTCAAAAGAATAGCTCAGGACTATCGTCTGATGCTAGGATGAGTACTTCTGTTTGAGAAAACTTTCCTGACTGCTTATTGCTGCAAGTTGTCATGGTCATCTCAGGACTCCATGGGGCATGCTTGTTCAATCAGTCTCAATGCTAATAAAGAAGATCACCACTATGTATCTGAAACCTGGTATAAAAAAACCACAGAGGAAAGAAAGGCCACTCAGAATGACAATATTATTTTTCAGCAGTGCAGTTAACATCTGCTTTGTACATTTTAATACTCATAAATGGAAAAAAGAAAACAAGGAATGCTATTAAAAATATAATTTATAATTATTTAAACTATATAAAGTAATGACAGCAATGTGTGTGGAAACCGTGCCTTTATTTTAGGGTCAACCTTCATAAAATAATGCATCATTAAAATAATAGACCTATAATACTAAAGATTTACAGGATCCTGAACTGGAAGACAATTATTTTGAGTCCCTGGGCTGACAAAGCTACTAATTTTAAAGTAAATTCCTTGGTTTTCATGAGTATAATTTTACAAAATGAAGAAGTTGCACAACAGTGAGAATAGACAACACTACTGAACTTAGAAATGGTTAAGATGGCAAATGTTATGATCTGGGCTTTTTTTAAAACCACAATTTAAAATACAAATTTAAGGGACGCCTGGATGGCTTAGTTCTGCCTTCGGCTCAGCTCATGATCCCAGGGTCCTGGGATCTGGGATCAAGTCCCTGCACTGGGCTCCTTGCTCAGTGGGGAGCCTGCTTCTCCCTCTGCCTGCCCTGTGAGTTCTCTCTCTCTCACAAATAAATAAATAAAATCTTTAAGAAATAACTTTTAAAAAGGGAGAAAATGAGAGGAAGACGGAGGGGAAAAAAGGGGTAAAAAGAGTATCTGCAGGTGAAAGAGAGAGGCTGAAGGCAGAGTGTGCAGGGAAGCAGGAAGGGCGCTGGGTGTGGGGAGAGGAGAGACCTGAAGGGAAGGAGACAGAAGGGCACCAGCAGGAAGGAGCGAGAAGGAGCGAAGAGCAGGCGGAGGAAGAGACAGGGCCGGCCCAGGGAAGAGAGAGAGGAGTCCGGGGGGAGGGCAAGACCGAGAGAAGGGTCAGAAGGAGAAAGAGATGAGGTGGGCGGTGGAGAGGCACTAACAGCAGAGAACCTGAGAGAAGCAGAAGAGGGGGACGAGGTAAGCGAAGCAGTGAGGGGGACACCTACCGAGGGGGACGGACAGGGGCATGAGAAAAAGTATCGAGGGGACGGTGAAAAGACAGAAACCAGAAAGCTGAGAAACTGAGAGTTTAGGAGCACTGTGAAGAGCAGGTGGCAAACGGAGAGGGTGGGGGGGGGATATGGAGGCAGAAAGAGACAGAGGGAGAAACGGGGACAAAATTTTTAAAAGGCCACTTACTCCTAGATGACCTTCTAATAAATGTGTATATGCTATGAAGTTCCCAGTGTGTCCCCAATCCCACACATGGTAATTTATCGTATCTTTATTATTATTGGGTTCAAATTATCTTCTAATTTCTCTTGTGGAATCTTCTTTGGCTTTTGGGTTTTATTTAAATGGGTTGTTTAATATCTGAGCAGGTAGGAATTTTCTCCCTATCATTTTTTTTTTTTTCCCTATTGATTTGTAGTCTAATTCCCCTGCATTCTGAAAAATACAATTTAAACTTTAGGAGAAAAGAAAATGAAGAAATTTCAGACATTTTTACTTGTATTAATTTAAACCGACGATCCCAAATGTTTTATGAGGAGAAAAGCTGCTTTTCATTTCCACAAATTCTTGAGGTCATTAGTGTCATAAAAGAGACCCACATGGAACTCCTTCAATCAGTGGTGAAAGAGGCTTTCAAACTACGCCTACCCATCCCGAGAGAAATGCATTTATACTGCAGCCTCACTCACCCTCTGAAAGAAACATTTTACAAAACAGTGTATGTGTCACTGATATTTTCTACTATACTGACCCTTCTAAATGCTTTTTTGACCCACTAAATTGCTTCCACAACCCACCAATGGCTAGTGATCCGTTTAGAAAGCCCATGTGTAGAGTGAGGCAGAGGTGAGGAGTAAGCCTGCGAGAGTGTGAAAGGGCTCAAGGGCTAGCTGCTTCCAGCTTCTCTCCTCCCTTCCCTGGGAGTGCCAGGGAGCCAGGCAGACGTGGGCACAGCAGTGGTACTGGTCCTGGCAAGCCCTCCGGTAAGCCTTTGAAATAATTCAAGATGAAGCCCTTTCTATTACTTAGGAACCTGGATTAAAATTACATCCACATCGTTGTATATTCCCAGAAATTTATATTTACTGCGACTTGGTAAATATTTAATGAAAATAATAATAACTGGAAATGGCTCCCCTGTCAAATTACTGAAGCCGCTTGATTTTCTGTAATAATGGAAACTCAACCGTCATTTACATTTGGCTTTACGAAGCTATCACATGAATCCGTGCTAGGGTCTCAGCCCCTCACACTGCTCTGTCAACAGCCAGACCCCGGCTGGATTGTCTGGCGGCAGGGAGGATTGGAGACTTTCAATAATACCTGACCTACTGGGATACCTGGGTGGCTCAGTTGGTTAAGCGTTCTACTCTTGATTTCAGCTCAGATCATGATCCCAGGGTCGTGAGACTGAGTCCTATGCTGGGCTTGGAGCTCAGTGGGGAGTCTGCTTGGGATTCTCTCTCTCCCTCTGCTCCTCCCTCTCCATTCATGAGTGAGTGTGCTCATGCTCTGTTTAATAAATAAATAAATAAAATCTTTAAAAAAAATAATACATGATCTACTACATGACTGTAAGCCCATGGGAAGGGACTTGGCCTTGTTATACTTAACACCGGGAATTAATGGCTCTCAATTAGTTAAATTTCAAATGAGAAGCATGTCTAATTATAAATACATTTATCTAATTAAGGGCAAACTGCTTAATTAGCATTGTTTTTAAATGGGCGACCAGGCAGCATGAAACACCACGTTTCCTTAATATCAAGCCCCCTTCCCTTTGCCACTTTATGATACTACATTTTTTTAAGACTGTTGTTCCATAACAAGAACAACAATGCTCCGTTCTCCCCAAAACTGTATAACCCAGAGTGAGGCACGCTCTGAGTTCTTTTCTGAGCTCAGTACTGACTGGTTGTGTTAAATCTGTTCTTAACATCCATAAATTCTTTAATCAATTCATTTAACATGTACCTATTATCTCCCTATCTGTGAGACATGTTTTCTCTTTCTTACATGCAGGACACAAAGGCAAGACAGCTTCATTATCTATAATATGAGGACAATAGTAATAGGTTTGGAATGAGAATCTAATTAGTTAATACACGTAAAAAGCACTAAAAACAATGCCTTGCTCACAGTGTCGGCTTTCATTATTGTTATTATAACACGCTGTTTTCTAAGATGAGTGCGCCGCCCTCGTCTGTACCTCTGAAAGTGCCCTTCCAACATTTCTGCAAGTATGCTTTCCTTGAAAAGCCCCTCCATGCCCTCACTCTGTCTCCTGGTGCCCCTCTAATGTCAGTATTTTCACCAGCAGCATAAATGACAAAAGTACTCTACACAGAACTAATTCCCACAGCAACCATGAACTACTATCATCCCATTTTACAGATGAAGAAACTGAGGCACACAGAGGCTAAGTCACTTGCCCAGGGAGACTGGATCTGATCCATGCAGTCGGGCTCCGGCTCCCATGCTCGTCCCCTTCACACCATACTGTCTCTTGCATCCTACACACTCCTATCAAAGCAGTAGGCAGGATGTTTTGAGATCGTCTGAATACAAATCTGCCACCTCCGTATCCCTGGCATCTAGCACAGGATCTGGATCACAGTGAGTACCAAGTATAACTTTGTCACTGTTTGATGAGGGAGAGGTCCCACAGTAGACCTGTTCTGCACATGAACCCAAATAGGCCACTTTAATGTCACAAGTCCCAAATTCCATAACCAACTACGCCAAAGCATTAGGTGATCCTATGCCATGCCTAAGTACGAAGCTGTAAGGAAATAGACACCACCAACTAATTGCAAGGAAGCAGTGTAGAGAAAGACAAGGTTCCTAACTTAATCTAAAATTATAAAGGTAGTAAAATTATAGTGCACTACTTTCTTTTTTCTATTTTTTTCCTATCGAGTCCCTCCTGCAGAACAGTGGTTCTCAGCCAGGAGTGTCTTGCTGCCCAAGAACAACGTCTGGAGACATTTTTGACTGTCACAACTCTGAAGGGGGGTTTTCACCGGGAGCTGGTGAACAGAGGCCAGTGATGCTGCTAAACATCCCACAATGCACAAGACAGTCCCCCCCTACCCCCCACCCCACCCCCAAAGAATTATCTGGTCCAAACATCAGTGATGTCGAGCTTAAGAAACCCTGCTGTGGGCTGAGTGGCCGCTGGTTAACTACTGCTTCAGCAGAGCCGAACAAAGCTGCCGGCAGCGGGAAGGAGAGGAACGTAGAGACTCACAACTAGAATCTGTGGGCCAATCTCCTACTCTCTGTCCGCCCAATGACAACTCCTGAATCGCCGGAATGGAGAGCCAATATCCACAAAAAACTCGAGCATTTTCTCCATTCCATCCCATAGAGACTCTGAATAGCCAAATTAGGTACTAACCCAGCTGTGCCCAGAGAGGATTATATGGATGTGTTTTGGCCAGTGCGTTCACGGACTGAGAGGTGCGTTTCTCTGAGGCTTTAATGGGAGGGTGATCAACAGGCATGACGGTCGGGACCCAGGCCAGGTGGTAGGTTAACACTGCAGTCAGTAAGGCAGCAAAAAACCTTGGAGAAATGGAAGAAAACACGAGATGAGTCAATGCAGGAAGCAGCATGTCATGTGCAGCACATCCACTGGCCATGGAAGCTGCAGCCAAGGCTCCAGAGAGCTGACGCTTACTGGTTTTTGCTGATCTGTTCTATCAGAAGTGTAAACTCCTTGAGAAAGCGCTGGCAGAGCTGGGTTTTTTCCAAAGTGCTGGACATCATGGTAAGCCATACAGGTTCAGCTATCCTTGGAACAGAATATAAGTTCCAGATCGTTCCTCTATAGAAAAGAGAAGGGATACACAAAACTGTCACAGATATCATTTTGGATATTCTCTGCATAAAGGAATAAAGAAGAAAACAATAATCTGAATCTATTCAGCCCTTAGGGATTCAAACAGTATATAAGTCAGGGATCGGCCAGCTATGATCCACAAGCCAAATCTGACCACCACCTTTCTTGTAAATAACATTTTGTTGGAATGCAGCCATGCTCATCTGTCTACACATTATCTGTCGCTGCTTTTGTGGAACAGCAAAGTTGAGGAGCTATGACAGAGGCTCTTTATAGAAAAGGTATATTAACCCTTGATATAAAATATTCATTTTTAAAGCAATTTATTTTCACAGTGCCTAGTACCGAACTTTATGGCTATTTATTTTTTTAAGATTTTAATTATTTATTTGTCAGAGAAAGTGAGCGAGCACAAGCAGGGGGAGTGGGAGAGGGAGAAGCAGGCTCCCCGCTGAGCTGGGAGCCCGATGCGGGGCTCGATCCCAGGACCCTGGGATCATGACCTGAGCAGAAGGCAGATGCTTAACCGACTGAGCCACCCAGGCGTCCCGACAGCTGTTTTTATAGTAAAGAAATAAAGGAAGAAAAAAGTATACGCTCTATCAAAAATGTGACCAAAGGCAGGCGCCTGGGTGACTCAATTGGTTAAGCGTCTGTCTTCAGCTCGGATCATGATCCCGGAGTCCCAGGATCAAGTCCCGCATAGGGCTCCCTGCTCAGCAGGGGAGCCTGCTTCTCCTTCTGATCCTTACCCCTCTCATGCTCTTTCTCTCTCAAATAAAATAAAATCTTTAAAAAAAAAAAAAAATGTGACCAAAGACAACTCAACACTCCCAATTTCTAGTTGGTGCTTTAGTTCTCTAAACCAAAGCACTCTACTCATTTCAGATGGAAAAACTACATTAAGTGCCTCTTCTTCGCTATAATATATACTGAGTTTTTATATGGACCAACAGAATCAAATCCTTAGAACTATAAGCTATTAGCAAAACTGACTAATACAGCTCTATCACTTTATAGATTCAGAAACAGGTCTAGAGAAATTAAGTTACTTGCGTACAACATTGAACAACAAGGTCAGGATGAGACTTCAGGTCTCCCGACACCTGGTACCAAGGGCTCTATTGCAAGCTCATGACTCACAAGTGTTTTTCCAAAGAATACACTAACTTAGCTTAGGATCTCCACTGGAGAGTACATCCACTCCAAATAAAGAGAGCTGAGACATATTCTGACGTGATTTCTAGCCATGCGCCTAAAAGAATTGAGACACACTAGAATTTCACCTTGGCCAAAATACATTTGCCTAGTTAGGTAGCAATGACAAGTGACAGTCACATGGAACTGGGATTTATTTACAAAAACTAAGGTCTCCAACTGCTAACACTTTACTTTGTCACCATTTCTGGAGAGGAAGATTGCTGAAATAAGAATAAGACTTGTCTATGAACAAGTGAGGCTCTCTGGTTCTGTACTTTCAGATTCCTGACCTCTGAAAAATTAATACTTTCATTAAACTAGCACAACCTCACACTATTTCTCAACTATATGACTTAGGTCTTAACGTTAACCACCAGATAATCACTGATGTGTTACCAGAGTACTTTATACATAACCCAGGGTTCAAAACTACTGGGGATTTTGCTCAAAGAAGCATTATAGAATTCACCTTAAGCATCAAAAAAATGTTCAAAATTCTAAGAACCGTAAAAAATATTTTTATCCTTCAGCTACAGAATAACAGTTTAACTCATTAGCTCATGACCCATTTGGAATGTGATTCCACTCCCCATTGAAACTGGCTCAAAGAAATGGTGTGAGAACCCCAGCTCAGCATGGTGAAGGAGAACCCCATCCACTACACTACACCTTCTTACCCAGATATTAGGAGCAAAGATATAGGAGCTCCAGAGTACAAAGATCATGAATGAAAAACTGACAGTGACGATACACCAGGGTGATCATACAATTTGGTGTTCAGACCAGGACACTTATGAGAGGACACTGGGTATAAACAAGGATCGTCCTGGCAGACTGGAAGGTCTATATCCCTGACATATACACTCTCTCCAGCTACACTGTAGATAAACAGCCCTGAACCCATGTTTCCACATCTGTAAAATGGGGCTAGTTAACAGTGCTTACTCCTAAGGCTTTCGTGAGGACGACATGAAATAATGAACAGGCTTGTAATGAACACCTAAACATTAGTTTTCTCCATTCATCCTGTTAAAAGCAATCGAAGACTGGATGACAGGCAGCAGTGTGGATTACACGGTGCTGAGTGACCTAAACTTTTTGCTCTGGTTGGTCTTGATTTCCATCTTGAGGGAAGGAGTTGCTAAAGTGGGTAATAATTGCAGGCCCCGCAATTCTTCCAAGTGATGGTTTCTATGATCCCTAGATCCATGGCTGCTGCTGCTACCGCCATTTATCAATTTACCCTCTGGGATTTGCCAGACACTGTCAATGTACCTGAATTCTCCCAGAGCTTCCATCAGACGGCTGACATAGAATTGGACACGGAGACTTGATTCTGCTATCTTCCTGCAGGAGATCATGGCCTTCGTGGAAGAGAAAACAAACCAAATTACTCTCTGAGAAGAAATTCCTTTATAACTGTCTACTACTGGGCTTTTATTAATAAAATAGTATTATAGCCAAAACATTCAATGTGGTAATGACTTAAGGCATCAGGAAGCAGTGATCTCCTTTCCTAAAATACTCTAGTATCTGATATCTGATATCAACCTGCCTAAGGGTCTATTACTGTCGTGGATGATTTTTTTTTTTTAAGATTTTATTTATTTATTTATTTGAGAGCGAGAATGAAAGAGAGAGAGAGAGAGCATGAGAAAGGGGAGGGTCAAAGGGAGAAGCAGACTCCCTGCTGAGCAGGGAGCCCGATGCGGGACTCGATCCCGGGACTCCAGGATCATGACCTGAGCCGAAGGCAGTCGCTTAACCAACTGAGCCACCCAGGCGCCCTGTTGTGGATGATTTAACTTCTCTAAAAAAGTGATCTGATACATAAACGATGAGATGCTACCACCTTAAAGCCCCATAATCACTTCTCTATTTGACACTAGAACTACATTCTTACTACCTTTTCAATGGCACTCTTCAGCCTGTTCATGTGAGATTCAAACAGGGGAAAATGAGAAAAAAAGAAGTCCTGGAAATTCCTTTGTGCTTCTTCTTTCTCACACAGAGAGAAGATGATGCTTATGGCAATTTTCTTCCTCCGAACTATGGCTGGATTAGAACTGCACGTTTCTTCAGCCAGGCTGAATGTCTCATCCGTCGACCTGAAGGAAAAATAAGTTGGAAAAGTTGCCATGCATTAAAGAATCACATTGAGGATAAACTGTAATGCCAGGGGATGACATTCAGAAAGCAAACCCAGACCACTCAGAGTCTCAACCAAGAGTTTGTCTGCTTCCAATTCTTTCTCTTCTCTAATTCTCTGTCATGAAAAATGAAAACATCAACTTACCACATGGTATTTTCCAACATGAAAAGAAACTTAAATAAAACCTAAAAGTAACTTTAAAAGCCCTCTTGTTAGACTCTTATTCCCTTGGATTATTTTACATCAGACTGGTGGTATTAAGGGAGGGGGGAGACACATCTGGTCACTCAAAACACAGGCCGTTTGTTTTGGTTGATAGATACCAATAGATAGGAACTTTAGAAGGGAAATGATCCTGTGGTATTCTGTTTAACCAGTGCGTCATGTTTGGAAATTTACTGGTGGTTGAGGCTTACTTTCCCAAGGCTATTAAAACCATTAGATGAAGTAACTCCAGTAAATGCTCAGATTAAGCCATGCAATTGATTAAGCTCTCTGGGAAATCCCCCAAACAGAAAGACATATCTCCCGTCTGGGTAGTCAAATTCTCAAAAAACAAAAAAAACCCCTTAAGATTCTTTTGAGAGACTGTGCTTCTATGATAAGGGAGAATCATGAAGCCAGTAAATTATCAATATGTTCTCAATCTGTCTTAAGGGGTAGGACTCACAAATATGGCCTAACCCTGTCTCTTACTAAACTATTCTGAAAAACCAGCATTGACTACCACATAGCTACTAACAGCAAAACTGAAAATAATCTTTTTTTGCACAAAGATACCCAAAGCAAAGTACGTAATACATTGCACATGAAAGCTCCTTGCCTGGCACACAGGAGGTATGCAATTAACTTTCTCTCTCACCAACTTTCATCATTTAGTCTGGTATCTCTGCCGAATACGGGAGGGTACTGCTTCCTCTGTTTTCTTTACCATAAATTACCACAAAACAATTACTTACGCTTGGCAGGGTTCAAGGCAGTTGGCCTTTATACTCCTGATCTTAAACTTATTTGGTGCTCTACTACTCACAGCCTGTAATGTTCCTGTGATTTCAAACATCTCCATATCTCTGAAAACATGCATACATCAAACGTTTTATGGTCAGGCAAGCCATTTTATTTTGAAGGAAAGGAGACAGACATCTTGTTCTAAGCTCAGAAAGGATACGCCATTGTTTCTCTCAACTTGAAGCAAGATCCCCGAGATGTAGATGTAGTTGATAAATCAGAAACAGGCTCTCACTAACAGACAAGCCACTGACAGGACATGATCTCCAGGTGCTGTTGTAAAGGCTGTGCATTCTAATAAACCATCAACTGTGTTTTCTGAAAAATTCCTAGATCCTAATCATCTGCTCATCAGAAAAAAAATCTTGAGCCTCTCTTAAGACTTTTACTTAATTTCATACAATGAAATTTCATATGGTAAATACTCTTTTCCAAAGTACCTGTACTATAACTTTGTTTTTTGCACCAGTTTATTTCTATTTTATAAAGGAAACTCTGAGCCAACACTTTCTTGTAACCGTTTTGTTGTCTGGCATCTCCTATTTCTCTTCTTTTTCAAAAGTAAAATGACTGTTTCAGTCCACTCATCTTCAGCCAATGTGGTCCTTAATAATGAAACTGTAATAAACACTTAACCCTAAGCAGGTTTCTGCATCATCTTCATCTCTCTTATAAACAATAGCCAACTGTCTTAATGTAGCAGAGGGCGCCACCTACTGCATTTCTGAAAAATTTCCATAGCTACAATAGCGTGGAGAGCTCTTATTCGCTTCATTGTTCTCTCTCTACTGAATTCCAAAGCAACTGAGCTTCATTCTGTAGTCTTGGATCAACCACACAAACTGGAATAAATCAGTTCACACAGTACTGTGATTATATTTTTAAATTATTCCACAATGAAAGAACATTTCAGAATGTTTTAAAACATTTGAGTATGCACCCAATACTACAACATCTCATCCTCAAGTCACCATGTAGAGGTATACAGGCCTTTTTGCAAATGTGGAAACTGAGGCAGAGTGATTCATCAACTTGCTTTAGGAACAGAAAGTTTCCTAGTGACAATGTTGGAGCTAGAACCCAGGGTTTCTGTCTTCTAAGCTAGGCTCATTTCCTGGATGTTGGAAAGGAGCAGGGACTCTGCCCCATGTGTGATCCATCTGCTGGTCTTCATGCCATCAGGTGCATCCTGCCAGCTGGAGCACTGAGAAGAAAAAGCTGGGAGCAATCACATCAGCTGACAGGACTTTGAGTCAGGGAAAGACCCCTGCAACGCACTTAAGTTTTCTCCTTACAAAAAAGTCAAATAGAATTTTGTTGACACTTATGAATAAGCATTTACATACATTATTTTTACCTCAAGATAATAAAGCAAAAAGTAGGATTTTTTAAGTACATCTCAAGGATCTATAATTGATATCAGGACTGCTTAGTCTAATTGTTTTTGTCAGCTTTGAACTTAATCTGAATCTACATATTAGGACATAGGAAACTGCCATTTTTGTAGGTCAGAGAACAAACCCGCCGCAACTTTATATGGCTGTTCAATTTTAATATCTTGGTCCTTTAGGGTTTCCGTCACCTCACTAAGAGATGAAATCTCTGCAGTTTCTCTTCTATTACAGGTGATACTTCCCCACCAGCTGGTAAATGCCCAGGCCTGACTCCCCATCCAGCAACCAAAATTTACCACCCGGCACAGCAGGGGGCCTGGAGACAGGCATATCCAATGTGGAACCAACTGTTAAGGATTGTGAAATCATCCTTTTCACCTTAACTCCCTTAGGGATTTTTTGATTACTGTGAATTTTCTCTCAAAGCCAGAGGCAATCATATTTTTGGTACCCATACTATTCTCCTGTCTGGCATAAAAAATTAGTTTTCCTACCTACATACCTGCCAAAAGTAAGAGATCAACTGCAACATCTTTAAATGAAGGGATCCTCACAGGAATAGTGATCAATTCAAAATGTCAGCCGCATTACGTTCTGTGTGTGCCAGCTTCATGGGCATGAGACCCTACTCATACAGAGCCCTGTTCCCCGATGGGCCCAGGCTTGATTTAATGTTTTGCAGTTGCCATGTTGAATTCTTAGTAATTTTATCTTTCAGCCTGTATTCTGGAAGTGAAGTCTGATGGGACAATGAAGCATGTGAGTGAGCAGTGAAGACACCAGGCTGCAGAGTGCACAGTGGGCTCAGGCCTAAGGGCATGCAACCCAGACTCTGAGCGACTGGCTAGGCAGTCAGGCACACAGCCACACGTCTGAAAGTCCAGAGTGCCAGGAGGCCCCAAGGAGGCAAGGCTGGGACCTGAGCCCAGACTGGTGGCTGGGATAGCGGCAGCAGAAGCAGCAGTGACCACAGCCACAGGAGACAGGTAGGACCTGGGTGGTGCCGTGACCCATGGTGCGAGGCCAGCTTACCCATCCATCCCTGGAACCTGTCCCTGTAGAGTGTGCATAAGTATTTAACTCTCTGACCCAAGCCCCAAGACAGTAGATTATCACAAAGAGCCTACAGTGGACATTGCCATAAAGCATATCCGGGAATAATCACAATTCTTCAGTTTATCGTCTCTAGTTTTGAAAACTATTGCAACATTGCAAAGCAAGTATCTACAGGTATAGAAACAAGTTAAATGTAAAGATTGTTGCACTGGACAGAAAAAAAAACCTCACTATTTTCACATGAAGCTTCAGATAAACAAATTATTAAGGAAATCCACTCTAAAATTAATTTTCCTTGTAATCGAAGATGCAGTGATAGAATGCAAAAACAGGCATTTTGAATTAATATACAACTCATGAAGACACTTTCAGTTGCTTGTAAGACCTCCATGAGTTACAGAAAATGTCAGAGGAGACATTAAAATAACTTTGTATAAATTTACATTTAAAATTAAATTCAGTCTTACACAAAATGGATTTGTGTGAAGAATTAAATCTTTTTAGAAAAACTGTTCCATAAGAATCATCAGATCTAGATGTACTGAAATTTATATTTTGAAAGTTTGTCAGAAACTTAATCCAATGTTTTCATAACCCATAAAGTTCCAGTAACGATTACATCAGCAGAAAGATCTTTCTCAAAAAATTGTCAAAAATTACTTGCCATCTGGCATTTGCCAAGAGTGATTAATGCTGCTTTCAATTATATCAACTGAAAGCAAAGTTGCTAAAAAGTATAAATTTTGATAACCTAACAAATGAAGATAGGCGAGCCAGAAGTCTTATGATGAAATCAAGATATAGCATTATTACTTATTATATTATATAAAATTATACCAAAATATTATTTCTTGTAATTTATAAGTTTATGTTTTATTCATATTTCACTATTATTCCTATTACATTTTGTTAAGTAAAATATTTTTTAAAGGAAAAGCTTTACATTTTAGTACCTTTAATAGCACTTTCCCCACTTTCTTTTTTTTTAAAGATTTTTTTTTTTATTTATTATTTGAGAGAGAGAGAATGAGAGATAGAGAGCATGAGAGGCAAGAGGGTCAGAGGGAGAAGCAGACTCCCTGCCGAGCAGGGAGCCCGATGTGGGACTCGATCCCGGGACTCCAGGATCATGACCTGAGCCGAAGGCAGTCGCTTAACCAACTGAGCCACCCAGGCGCCCTCCCCACTTTCTGAACAAAGGGGCTCTGCATTTTCATTTTTGAACCAAAGATACTTATTTTACGTGTAAGTTTAATAGAGATTCATTAGTTGCCAAAGCCAGATCTCAATTCAAATTAGAGTTCTGAAGAATTTTCAGAGGAGTGGGATGAAGAATACTATTCAACTCTGGATTTAAACCTGAAGGGACAGGGGAGCCTGGGTGGCTCAGTCGTTAAGCGTCTGCTTTCGGCTCAGGTCATGGTCCCAGGGTCCTGGGATCGAGCCCCGCATCGGGCTCCCTGCTCAGCAGAGAGTCTGCTTCTCCCTTTCCCTCTGCCTGCTGCTCTGCCTACTTGTGCTCTCTGTCAAATAAATAAATAAAAATCTTTAAAAACAAAAAACCTGAAGGGATGGAAAAACACTTTTAGTAAAGAGATCTCTAAAGGGGAAGGCTTCTACGACCCATCATTCTCTTCAATCACAGAAGCTGTTGTAAGGACAGTGAGAATGGTGGGATGCCTTCTCCTGACAACTGCAGTTAATGGCAACGATAATGATGTCTGGTACTCGTACAATGATCATAGTGCAGATGAGGAAGCAACACTCTGAATGCAGATTAATTCGCTGTTACGTACACCTAGTGAGTGGCAGAGCTGGGACCTGTCTTCACACCAAATTCCAAGCTCTTAACCATTCCACTCAAAGCCCACCAACCACAGAGCAGTTCCTCGGTGAGTGAAGCAGCTCTATTTTTTTCTCTTGGTCAAGCTTGCTAGGACTGTGAGAACAAGAGAAGAGAGGCAAGCAGCCTGACATGTGCTACCCACATGCCCTGACCCTCGTCTCTCAGCTCGTCCTTTAAGCACCACCTCTCCCATGAAGGGCTCTCCAATTCCCCACCTGACCACCAGCCAGTGTTCTCTCCCTCCTCTGAGTCCCAAAGCACTTGATGCCCTACCCACAGCATTTAGAGTTTAACCTCTTTATGCCATTATGTGCATATGGTCTTCCCCACTAGTCAATAAACTATACTAATGGTCCACAGATGCAGGTGTGTATCTGAATCATCTTTACAACCTCATGGACCCCTACACACGATGATTACTAGCCGACTCACGAAATCAAACAATTGACACGTGAATCTTTATAGGTATGACCTATGTTAATTCCCTTTTAAGGTTTTGGGTTATAGGGAAAAGGAGGTGGAAGCTACTGATGTAACATCATATTAAGCCAAAATGTATATTTTGCAAAACAACTAAACTTTAGATCTAAAATTCAACTGCAATGAAAGCAGAACATACCTCAATGCCATCTTTATAATCAGATTCATGACCATTTCGTTTAAGAATTAAGTTTTATGAAAAGAGTATGTCACAATCCTTGAGTTCCTATGTTTTCAAAGACCACGTTGGTGTCACAGTAAGCCAAGGAAGAGATTTACTCCACCCTTCTAACTCATGAGAGCTACATCTGGAAGGGAGCCAATTCAAAGAGAGAGCATGCTCATTTTAAATTAACACCAAAATCTAGCTCACACATGGCACAATGACCCAGATGTTTCCCACTGTCTTCCAAACCAGACTGGTTTTCAGCTTGATATTTATTGTTTTTTATAAAAATTCTAACTTACCCATTTTCAGCCTAAGCTGAAGCTAATCCGGCAGTTAAGGTTTTGTTTTTTGTTTTCCACTGACAACAGGTGAGCACTGCCAGTTCGTTCAAGCGGTCTACAACCAGCACCCTTCTCATCAAGAGCAAACTTGCAACTCACCTCCTTGGAATGATGCCATTTTCCAAACTTGTTGTCTGACTTCGAAGCCAGCGGCGCTGGTAACTGCTGGAAGAGGATGTAGAGGAGCTTGGAGATGGAAAAGGTGTAATCAAAAGGCTGCTTAGTGAGGCTGTGAGGAAGAAAAGTTTAAAGTTGAAACTTGAGGTAAATGAATCCTCACATAGCCACACAAAAACATTCGTGCCAAGTGACCTAAATTTTCAGGTTCTACCAGACATAGCCAGCAGGGGGAGACTATAACTTGTCTCTTATAAAGACTTCTGTACTGCAAAGAAAACATCCTTTAGAAAGGAAAATAAATTTTAAAAATAGGGATTACAGACATACCAAATGCATCAGTTATCAGGCCCTACATTACAAAGGCAGCGTAATTATCACTCACTTAACCAGAATGCAGATTTCTGATAAAAACGGTCCACATAGCATCAACTGTTCATATTGTTACGGGATAAGTAATGTCATACACAATGTTTATTTACACATTTTCTCCTCTTTACTACTTTACTCCTATTCCCATTTTGAAGTGAATTCTAGGCAAGTAAGTAGTTTCCCCACAGAATATCCTCTCTCCTATCCCCTATCTCCAAATACACACTACTTAACCCTCCCCTCCAGCAACCACCTCCCCCACTAACCCATCACCACTCCCTTGGCTGTGAAAAAGCAATCTCTAGTCTTAAATATATTTTCTGCTTGGATTACTTATTTGCCCCAGGGCCTCTCTCTGCTCCTTTCTGCTATATAGTATTAGATGCCTCCGCTTGGGCTCTCAGTGTGAGCTGACCTGCCAGCCCAGACTTCTCTAACAGGCAGGGAGGGACTGGTCCCTTTCAGGGTAGGCAAAGGGATTCTTACAAATCAGAGCTGCTTGACAGATGTCTACTAGTTTGGAAGAATGAAAGAAGGAGACAGACTTTTTTCCTTTTACTTTCCTCAGGCTAAGGAATTAGATACTGAAATGTCACTCAGTCCAGTGGAAAATGAAATGGGGTCCTACTGAAAGCTGGGCACTGTTTTCAGAAGCAAATCACAGGACAAAGGAAATTGATTTCAGCACACATAGTGTACTATGCTCATGGATATCCCTTGATAAGGCATTTCCCCACATGAAGTTTTACATTTTAATTTACACTTTTACAGGCAGATGTAAATAACCTGACTCCCAGACCTGATTTCTTAAATACTACAAGAGTTACTTGGCTTTAGTCAACACCCAATAAGCAAATACTGCAGTGTGTACAATGTGCCAGGTGTTGTGCCAGGCAACTGGGATGCAGTGGTGGGTAAGACAGACACATATTTGCTGGCATGGAGCTTCAAGTCTACATGAATAGCAGTGAACTTGCCAGGCTACAAAATTAGATGCAAAATGGCTCAAGGTTCTTTCCACAACAGAAGTATATTGAGATGCTTTTCTTCTAATCTAGTCAATATCCATTAACAAATTTGTTTGCTATCTTTGTATCTTTGTATCCCTTGTATCCAGGACAGCTCCTTGGATAATTTATTAAAGTAATTAATAAATACTTAGTGAATGTATGGCACTTCTTCCCTAAAGTATTGCCCAGATGTGGCTGGCCCCAACAGGTTGCCTTTGTTCTGACCTGGATTTGATTTTGGAGATTTATCAGTGGTGGGTAACTTTACTGAAAATTTTGAAGGGAGACAGAAGGGAGTTTTTCCTCAAAACCACACAAAATTACTTAATAAAAAATGCCAGTTAGACATCTGTGCCCCACCCCCGAACTCTAAAAGTTCCCTACGAAGTACACAAGCGCTTCATTCCCCATTCCTAAATCTTCAGGGTCCCCTGTCTCTCTTCCTATCTTATGCTGATCCAGTCAATTTCTTGGCAGGTGGAGGACAGGGCTGAGGGGAAGTAGTACTTGTATTATAAACATTTTTTTCCCTGTCACAGAAGCAAGATGGAAAAGACTCTGAGGGCCAGATTTATTCTGGAAATTCCATGTATTGCTGTATAATTCAGTTTAGTAAACTGAGTAAGAGCCCAGGCTCCTGATTCAAATCCTAGCTGGGCCACTCACCAGTTGTAATACCTGGGCAGATTACTTAACCTGTCAGCTTTCTCATCTGCAAAACGAGGACAGTAAAGTATCACACCTCAGTATTTTTTATGAGAACTGCAATCTGCTAGTGAGTTGTGAATTATTTAGTGAACTGACACCAACATTTAAAAGAAAACAAGAGTATATTGCAATGCTAATATTAATTGATGAAACTTCTGTTATATGTAAAGATGTCACTGGATCATAATATAAAATGCAGTAGCATGAACTGCAGACAAAAGAAAAGTTTGAGAAGCACTGACCTATTTCATAAGGTTCCTGCGAGGATTAGACAAATCAATACACTTAGCCCAGTGCCCTACACAATAAATGCTGGCTATTTACTTCTTCTGATAATTCTCGGAACAGGAAAGCAAAGTAAGACATTTCAGAGTACTGAAAGGTTATTAGTTCTGATTAGTTAATCATGAAAACAACCTAGGACTTGTAATAGACACATGAAAGGGAAAGGAAAAAAATTAGTAAAAAAAAGAAGATATTCCTTTTTTCATTACAAAATTCTGAATAAAAATATTATTAAGCTAAAGTGCTGGCTTAGGGCTACCCAGCATTTCCTTATCAAAAATATTTTAGTATTATTTAATACAATTTTTACATTAAAGTACTGTGTTACATAATTGTCAATCACATACTCTAGGAAGCAATACAGTTAGTAAGTCTCAAATGGAAGAACAGCCTTAACTTGGGCCTCTAACTCATTGCCATTTTCATGAGAAGAGGGTGGATTCGGGTATCTGTTCTATTAACATTTAATGCATTTGATGGTTGGCTAGACTCTTCTGTCTCCTCTGCAGCTTGGACAGACACCAGGCTATGTGTATTTGGAAACAATCCCACACAATAAAAAAATATATTAATGTGATGAAGCCCCTTATTTCCTCTCCAAGCTCATCTTACACCACCCTCCCCTTACTATATTCCAGCCTTCTATTTCTTATACACAGAGCTCCGAAGACTGTTTCCACTCTAGGTCTCTGTACTAGCTGTTCCCATGCCTAAAATGCTCTGTGCTCTGGTTACCACCAGCATTCCAGTCAGCTGAGAACTTCACCTTCTTGGAGAGGCCTTCCACGAGCATCTCTTATATCTTATTTTCCTCAGTGATAAGTGCTTACCTACATTTTACTGTCTATGATCTGTTTCCTTTATTGACTATAAACTCCATGAGATCAGGGATCATGTCTATTTGATCACTGATCTATCCCCATATCCTACAAAAATGCCCAGTACATAAGATGCTCAAGAAGTACTAATGCACAAAGAGTGAGCAAATGGTTATACGAAGATCAATGTTGTCTGTCTCAATCGATAATTATGACAGAAACAAAGCATTAGAGAAACAAATTTCTAGAGAGAATTCCAAGTCTGAATTTGTTGAAAGTTTCCTGTGGTCAAAGCTGTTACACAGCATTTGGATTTTCTCTTTTTCCTCCTACCTTCATTTTAAAAAATTCTGTTTTGTTTTGTGGCGGTGGTGGTGGATAGCAGTGGTGTAGCTCTGAACTTGAATACTTTTTCTGTTTGACACAGACGGTACTACATCCAAAAGGCAGGAATGATCTTTTTTACTGTAACACTGACAGTACCTCTCTTAGAGTTTTCTGCTTACTTAAACACTTGAAAACTATAAGGTTCCTTAAACTTTAGCAGTTGTGTTTCTCAACAACAGAATAGAGGTATTTAAAAAGGTCAATTAATAGAGCTGTGATTATTGTCTGATAGGAAAATGCCATTTTTAATAAACCGAATACATTACTAGGCAAATAAAATTTTAGTTAGTACACTGCAGTTACCAAATCACAAAGTGATTTTAAGACTATAAAGGGTCTTCAAAAGCATCCCAGGAACTTCAAGTTTTAATAAAATTCCTATCAAGTCTCCAATGAAAAGACAAAGAAAATGTCCTCACCATCATGATTTCAACACACCTTAATTTTTTAAATTAAGACTTCATTTTTTAGAGTACTTTTAGGTTGACAGCAAAACTGAGTGGAAGGTACAGAGATTTCCCTCCATACAGCCCCTGCTCTCACATACACAAAGCCTCCCCTGGGATCAGCATCACTCACCAGAGGGGTATACTTTTACAACTGATGAACCTACACTGAAACATAATTATCACCCAGAGTCCATACTTCACCTTAGGGTTCACTCTCAGTGTTGTACTTTCTATGAATTTAGACAAATGTATACTGACATGTACCCACTATCAATCAAAATAGTTTCAGCTCCCTAAAATCCTCTGGATTCCAACTATTCAACCCTCCTTGCCCCTGTCCCCAACTCCTGGTGACCACTGATCTTTTTACTGTTTCTATAAGTTCTGCCTTTTCCAGAATGTCATACACTTGAAATCATGCAGGATGTAGCCTTCTCAGATTGGCTTCTTTCACTTAGTAATATGCATTTAAGTTTCCTCCATATCTTTTCATGGTTTGATAGCTCATTAAGTTTTAGCACTGAATTATACTCCATTGAAAACACCTTAAATTTTAATTCCTTACCTAGGACGTAAACTCTATCCCAGCCGTGGTGGTAAGTTCACTCTCTACATTTGTCAAGCGATTTAACCTTTCTATGCCTTTAATCCATAATCTGTAATCTAAGACTGAAGTGTCTACAAAGACTTTGGGGAAGTATAAAAACTCTCTTGGTTCTTTGCCCTTCCATATAAATAAGAGTTATTTTGTCTAGCTTCACAAGGGATTTTAATTGAAATTACACTGAATTTATATTTATTTGTGAAACTTCATCTCTTTCTCCATTCATTTACGTCTTATTTTTTAAATTTTTTTCCTTTGAGGCATAGTTTCTTCTATTTTATTTTTTTGACATTTTTTAATTTAAATGCAATTAACATATAATGTATTATTGATTTCAGAGGTAGGGTTGAGTGATTCATCAGTCATATAATACCCAGTGCTCATTACATCACATGCCCTCCTTAATGTCTATCACCTACTTACCCCATCACCCCAGCCACCCCCCCAATCCAGCAACCCTCAGGTTGTTTCCTATGATT